GTCTGACTGCAGAAGGGTAGCTATCAGAATTTAAATGGAAGCTGATTGGGGTCATAAGGTCTCGTAAGGATAAGGTGGAGTCTGCGGGCTGGAGTCCCATGGGTGCTGTGACCACATGGCTGATTTAGGATGAGAGCTGCTGAAAATAAAGCTGCTTTCTCATCTAGCAAGGCTTGCTATTTTCATCACTTGCGTTCCATGGTGCGCTTTCTAGATTTAAATAAAAATGTAAATGACTCTGGAAGGTAGAATAGAGAGTATCTTTTGCAGGGGAGGAAGCCTGGGCTGAGGGCTGAAGTGTGGGTCGGGATACAGGACTCCTGTGCTGATGCTGCCAGTTGGTGTGACATCAGGCAGGCCACCTCTGTCCTCGTGCCTCTCTTCTTCTGCCTGGATATTGCTGCGCTGGGGTGCTCTTTGCAGCAGAGGAGGTGTTGTGGGAAGTAAATCCCTACAGAGAAACGAGAGGGCAGCCGCACAGAGCAGCGGGACAGGGCAGAGCTGGCTGCTGTCAGGCGCTGGTCAGGATGGCTACAGGGAGGAAAGGGCTGCCTGTGAGTCAGAAAACAGGCTATGAGTGAGCTCCTCAGCTCTGACAGCCCTTTCAAAACAAGTCAGCATTTGGGAATTGCCCAGGGTGTGCTATTCACAGCCCTCACACTATGGTGGGAAAGCAAAGCTTGCATGTGTAGTAGTGTTGTACTGTGGTGTCGAGGATTTTTGACTTACTCGGTTCTTGCTTGCGCTCTTAATCTGAGGTCTGTTCCCTCAGTGTTCCCCTGTTCTGCAGATGCTGGTTTGTGTTTAAGCTTGTCACTGATTTCTGTGCATCAATCCACTCAAATATGAGCCTTTCTTTGCCTTTCATCTCTCCGTCAGACTGAGCAGCCTCATGACACCATCCCTGTTTTTTAAACTGGAAAAAAAAAAGTTTCCACTTAAGTTTTGGTTTTTTTTCTGTATTTACCCCACAAGTGAAAAACTTTCCAATGTGCATCACTGCCATCCTGGGATGCTCTGACTTCATCATTGGTGAAAGAAGCATCTCTGGCTTCTGGAGGCATCTGAATTCGATGGGAACCTGCAGCAACTGGACAGCATTGCAGGGATCGCTGAGTACCCCTCCTCGAGCTGTGCCTGAGCAGGACAGCGCAGTAACAGTGCACGGAGACTGTGGGCTCTCCTGCAAGCACTTTGGCTCTTGTAAGGAAGAACACTCCTCCCTTCCTCAGGGCTAAAATAAAACCAGACTTAAAACAAATACTTACAGACTTGACCACAACTCAACAGCGGGTGCACTTCACTCACCTAGCAGGATGTGCAATTCACTCCTGGTTATTTCTACTGAAATCAAGAAAATAAGAGGTTATCGGGGCACAAAGCAACACCTCTTGGCACTTGACACTTCTCTGTTATGCCTCCCTCACTCTTGCCCTTCATCATCACAAACACCATGCTAGCATAGCAAACCCTCCGTGCAGAGCATCTGCTCCGGCTCGCAGCGAGGGAGCTGCCTGCAGCCCGGCTTTGCTTTAGGGTGCCTGGCACGCTGGAGTAGGTTGCCTGTGTTGAGCTGATTTGATTTGCTCCTAACGAGCAGGTGAGTGATTATGTTTTCTCCTGTTGCACAATAATTCTGCTGTGAAGGCAGGCTGCCCTGCCTGGCGTTGCACAGCAGTCTCATCTTAACAAGGTTGCTGGAGGAGCCTCGCTCCTTCGGTGTTGCTTGGAACGATAATGCGCTGCCCTCTTCGCCCCTTTCATCATTCCTTCTGCCAGCTAGCTCTTCTAGAGTTAAGCTGTGTGCTGAGAAAAAACAGGAATCGTCTATTTATTTATTATTTTTTTGCTGTGTTTCTTAGCAGGGGATCTCAAAGCCCTGTGTATGCAGAGCGGTATTTTACCTCCCTCTTGAAGCGGAGCGACCTGCTGTCTGCAATGTGGCTGCTGCTTCGCAGAGAACATGCACTGGAGAGCAGGGGAGACACACAAAGACATTTGAGAAGCCTCTGGACCAGGACCTTCCTTTGGAACTGAGTTTAAAAACTGGGGCTGATGCCCCAGCTCCCTAAAGAGCAGCATGGCAGCTTGGTGAGCCAGAGTAGCCAGATGCGCTGTACCGAGCACAGCAGCTCCCTTGCAGCCAGCAGGGATGCTGCTGCTTCCCTGGGGGTGTTAGAGGCACCAGGAAAACCATTCCCATTTCCCGCAGCTCCCCAAAGGTGTCTGCGCAGGAGTCATGCTGGAGATCTCTACTCCCAGACGGTCCCAGGCTGGGGTGTCCCAGAGCTGTTCAGTTCCCAGTGCTGGGGAGCAGGAGTGCTGGCTCATTTAAAGAAGCTTTCTTTTGCATTTAACCCAGGGATGAGAAAAGGCTGTGTTGTCCTCTGCTAGGATTCTCAGTTTGAATCCCTGCCTTGGTGGTGGTCTCCCTTTATATAAACCCACTGGAACGAGCGTGGGCTCCCTGGGAAGCGTTGGAGGCCAGCGCTGGTGTCTAGCTCTGTAATTGCTGCTGACCTTTCTTTGCTTTCATATCCCCTGGCAGCCTCCAGCAGCAGCTGCCGCTTGCCGTAACACCGCCCGCATCCTTTGCAGGGATGGGATGACCTGCTTCAGCGCTGTCTCCAGAAAACCCAGGGGCTCCAGGACTACCTGCAGAGTTAATGCTTGTTGGGTGTTTCCTAGTGCCAGAGCCAGGAGGAGAAAATAGAATCAATTTTTACTGTACGGTCACCTTCAGACATTTGCTTTGCAAAGGGATAACATAGGCCCAGTGCCTGTCCCGTTGCAAATCAAGTAAATCCCATTTCCTAGCTGAAGAAGATTATCTTCTGGCTCCTTGGCTGCCCTGCTGTTCCTGTGACCTAAGGAAGCATCTGGATTGTCCCAACCTTGCTCCCCTGTGACCCTTTACCAGCTTCAGACACTCAGGGGGACACTTTCCTTGCAGCATGTGTCTTTGCAGGGGACACTGTCCAGTTTCAGACCTTTTCTCTTCCTCTGTCCCAGCTCCATACACAGATGCCGCCTGGTGCAGTGAGGGAAGCTGCTCTCTCACCCCTCTGTCTCCTCCTCATGAGATAAATTGCTTCGAGTACATCTGGAGCTGCTGTGCCATTTTTTTTAAGCCTTCCTTTCTCATTTCTATCACCTTTTTATCTTTTTTTTTTTTCCTACATCACCAGCTGGCCTTGATTATAATGTGAGACCCCACCGGCTTCAATTAAGGAGCAGATGTGACCCAAGAAAGGGGATAGCAGCTAGGGATGGAGATGACACATTCATGGCGCCGGGTCTAATCAAACAACTTCTCACATTATTCTCACCGCGAGGTGGGAGACGTGTGAGCCAAAGGCAAGTCAGTGCTTGGAGCACCCGCAGAGACACATTGCTAGCAAAACCATTTGTAATGAGCTGACCATGCCACTCGGCACGGCGACGTGAGCTCAGCCAAGGGCTGCTTTTCATCCACATCAGTGCAGCGAAGGACCCAGAGGCTGAGAGTGGAGAAGGGGCACCTAGAAAACAAATCAGCCACTGTCACCCAAGGGCTGCCGGGTGGAGGGGATGCTCGTCCGCTGGGTACCTGCAGATGCATCCGTGTCCCTGGGAGAGGGGATGCTGTGTGTGCAGACTGATGCGGTGGCTGTGGTGAAGATGGAGATGTTGCTAGTGTCACGGAGCTGTAGGTGGGTCTTGCTGGGGTCAGACTACAGGAGGGGGGAGGCTGGTGTGATGTGGCTGCGTTTGGGACAGCAGGGATGCTGCGTGAGCCGTGGTTCCTGGCGGAGCTGTGTCTGTGGCGCTGCAGATGCTGCATGATGCAGGTTTGGGGGCCTGGCTGTGCTTGGCAGCTCTGCGGACCTTTAGAGGAGGCAGGTGCTTTGTCGATCTGTGGTGTGCAGAGGTTGGGTGTGGAAGAGCAGGTGCTTTGAACCCGAAGAATTTGAGTTGTGGTTATGCTGGAGCTTCTATAAATCTGTTCTCCCTCTTTTACATTCGGGCTAACAGCTGGTTTGTGTTCAGGAAGCCTTTCTCGTTTTAGAGGGAGAGCTGTTGCTTATTCTCATGTTTTAATGTTTTAATTAAGAGTTTATTGCAAGTGAAACATGACTCTCTGTGGAGACTGAAGTCCTCTGCCATGGCGTTAAATAAGGTGTAGACCCAAGCAATACCAACCCAGACTTTCTCCTTGCTCTATCTCAACCATGCCCAGATCCTGAGATTCCTGTAAATTTTTATGAGTGCTGAAGAAAAAGACTTTGCAGCCTCCTTTTGCTAAGGAGATGGCCACACATCACCATTCTCACATTCCTGGCAGAGAAGCTGACACAGAGAGAAATGACTCACCTCCAGCATTTTGCTGGAGCTAAAAATTGGACCCAGCATCCCCATAGCCAGTCCCTGATGTGTTGTACTGATGTATTTGATGTATTTGGGAGAGGCCCTCTGACACCCCATGAGGTCTGTGCTCTGTGGGGACAGCCGGTGCATATCCCTCCACCTGAACACGGTGTCCCCGATAGCCCTGTTGGACATTGGCCAGAAGAACATGAATGTAGCTGCTTGGGAGCATACCTGCCTGCTCAGGGAGTGCGGTTTATGCTGGGTATGAGGAGTATGGTGATTCTGATGAGGATCTGAGGACTGAATTTCAGCTGTGGTGCTCAGCTGCTGCAGTTGCACTTTTCACATGGAAGAGCAGAGCTTGGTAGCTCCTCCAAGCAGTGTCTTGCTGTGGGATGGGTACTTGCTAAAGGCCACCCCTACCTTGTAAATGGGAGGGAGGTGGTAGGTGGCTCCAGCCCAGCCATAAGGGGATGTCAGACAACTATTGCTGCTTTTTGTTTGGCGAAGCCTGGTTCCTGCTAAAAGATAAATATCCTCTTGGAAATAATAGGTGCCTGTCTCCTTGGAGGCACATCCAGGGTGATCATGCTGATCCGGGCGGCTGTTCCCTGACGGTGTCCCTGTCTGTTGCTCTGTTTGGTCCCCAGTCCCACCCGTGGTGGAGCCAGCCTTCCAGGACGTGCGGCAGGGCCAGGGGCGCAGCGTCACCCTGCGCTGCACCATGCTGAAGGGCAGCCCCATGAAGGTGGCCACCTCCGTCTGGCGCTTCAACGGGACCCTTCTGACGCAGCCCCCGGCAGAGCAGCAGGACTACTCGGAGATGAAGGTGGACAGCGTCAGCCGGGACACCAGCGGGAGCTACGAATGCAGCATTTCCAACGACGTGGGGGTCTCCACCTGCCTCTTCCAGGTGTCTGGTGAGTCGTCGAGTGCACGTGGGAGCAAGCTGTGGGATGGGGTCATAAAGGTGGGGAGCTTGCTCCCCATAAACTGGTGCCGGTGCAGGCAACCTCTGCTGCCTCCTCCGTGCGCGGCGCTCTGTTCACAAGAGATGGCTTTCTGTAAGCCAACGGGGACATCTGCCTCCATCATTCAGGCAGTCCTTCAAGTCTGGGATGGACCCAGGGCGGTTAATGCCGGCCACTGGTCCATTTGAGCAGTGTTTGACCACTTGCTTGAAAGATACGGGACTCAAACTCCAGGCTGCCATCAACTTTCAAGCTTGGACAACCTCTGTCATAGATAAATATTGACCAAGGGGGAGTGAGAGGCTCTCTACATTCCCCCAACAGGCTCCAAACCATCTAAGTTCACCTTTAAAAACAAACAAAAAACCCAAACAAAAACTACATTATATATTCCTGTACCTTACCTATGTCCCTGGCTGTCTTTGTGTCACGATGTGAGCTGGGAATGGATACTGGTACTCAGTGGATTGCTGCTCAGGGTTTTCTGTGGGTCCAGGAGGCACCGGAACGGGACCCCTTTCCAGCAAAGAGGGATGGCAGAGTTATAGCATCTAAAACCACACATCTGACCCAGCCTCTCCAGCTGATCGTTAAATCTGCTTTTTCCCATGACCCCAGAATTGACTTGGGCACCAGTTTCGAGACAAGCTCTCCGACAAAGTTGCCTTAATAAGCAGTAAATTCAGCCAAAATACTGCGTTTTCAGTCCATGGCCAATTTATAATACTTTTCAAGTCAGGGCTGAACAAATGAGAATAAATAACATCTAGAGAAGCCTGATTTTTGAAGCAGATCTTTCCCAGGATTTGGAAAAGCTGAGGTATGCTGTAACTCTGAGATGCTCTTAGAAATGGGGAAGCCCAGACCAATGCTACCATTAAGGCCCCTTTTCAGGACCTTGCTCTCCCCCCTGGAGATCTCCCAGAGTTTGTCCGGCAGTGGATTTTGTTTGAGAGCTTTGGTCCTCTCCACCCTTTCTTTGTATGTTTGCAACTCTCACATCACAAAGTGATGGCAAACATCATCCCGCTATCAGCCACAGCAAACTGTGTCCCTAGCAAGCTTGGGAATGCTCCCAGGATCTGAATTTCTTGCTGGAAGTAGTAACAAAGACATTATACCACCTGGTGTGCTCTGCTGTGCCCCTCGAGATAAGAGCCCCTCAGCACAAAGCAGCATCCATCCCTGGAGAGCACTCATTGAGAAAGCAACAAGCATTTTATTTTTTTTCCTGCATCCCTTCTCCGTTTCCAAGGCATTGATATCTGATGGTGGCTTTTCAGCTCCAGACATCTCTGCCTGTGTCCTGGAGAGTTACAAATCAATTAGGCTTTCTGAGCCTGTAAAGCAACTTAAATAATCCAGTGGCTGGACTGCTGCGCTCGGGCTCAGGACTGCTGGAGTTCTAATTCCCGTCAGCCGCAGCCTTCCTGAGCGAGTCGGGGAATGGCACGATCTCTGTTGGTGTTTCTTCTCAGGGAAAGAAGAACCATAAACCTTCCTATCTGACAGGGAGGCATCGATGCCTTTGTGGCTGGTGTTCAGATGTCCTGGAAAGAGTACATAAACCTGCCCAGGATAGGATTAGTTTATTCTACGGATGGGAGACCAGCTTTCTGAGATGTTTTGGAAGGGTGGTGAGACATCCAGCCCACTCCCTGCTGGCTCTCCTACTAGCTACAAGCACAGAAAAGCCCAAAAAGATGGAGTGAATAACCTTCAGCTCTTCCCATCAGCTGGAAGCAAAAGACAAAACTTTCGAGCAATGGTAAAAGTTTCCAGAGAGGAAGTTCCAAAAAGTATCTTGTTGTGCAGCCTTTTTTATTAGAAGCCTTTTTTACCTTCCGTTTCCATCTTGGGGTCAATTAATAAGGCATTAATATCATGCAAGGTGATCATTATCATCCGTTCCGATTTTATTTCTAAATCCATTATGAAGCTTGACTTCCACAGTCGATGCAAGTTGAATAAGCAGCAATTAGTCTCTGAGGTGGTTCTGAACTTCTTGCTTGTGCAAAAATTCACGTCAATAAAAATAATAAGAAAAAAAGGACTTGGGAATAAACATCAATATTATCCATCTGAGTTCATAAAAAATAAACATTGAATCCTTTCGAGCCTAATTATAACCACACAGAATGGCAGGACCTGTGATTCAAGTGGAAAGGTGCAGCGGGCTGCCTGGGGAGATGGTGTTTATGTCTGTTCTGCTCTCCAGCATCCTTTGGTGCACAGGCATCTTTCTGGTCTTGCAGGTCTGGATTGGACCTGAACCCAGAAAGGAGAGTTTTGGTTCAAGCCCAACTCCTGCCTGGCCCAGGACAGGACCTGCCAAAACCTGAAGTGCACAGGGTGAAATAAAGGGAATCTCAAATAGGGACAAACCAGCTGTGGGGTAAGACCTCGCGTTGCTTCTGCGCTCTGTGCGTTAGTCCACTAGCCCCTGGGCTGCTCAGCAGTAGCCTTTGAATCTTGTTTGTTCACGGGTCAGGACAGCAGCAGCTGGGGAAATGATGGGAAATCCCTTCTCTGAACCATCCAGTTTCTCTGTAGTACATAGTTTCCCTTCCTTCTGCTGCCCTCTGCTTTTAAGGGGAGACATGGGTTTAGAAAAGACATCTCCACCCCTGCAAAACCTCCCGTCGTTTTTAGCCAGGCTGAGGTCAGCCTCCCGTTTGCTGCCGAGGCTGGACCACTGTGTTGCCAACGAAGGAGGATGCAAGGTCTCCTTTTTAATGCCATGGTCCCTGCGTGATAAATAACACTTTTCCAATGACCTGCTGGACGAATGATCTTTCCTCAGGGTTTGTTAGCAGGAGACTCTGTCAAGCAGCAGATGAAACAGGAGAAAAGCCCATTTAAAGCTGTTACCTCAATCTGAACTACAAAGCAAGAGAGAAAAGATGAGAGGAGGTTCCAGCTGGAGAGCTGAAGTTGTTCCCACCTTCTCTGGTGTCGGTCGTGCTCCGCTGGTGTTGCAGGGCTGCTGACCCTCCCAGTAGTTCAGGCTGTGAAAGCATTCACAGAAAATGATGGCACATCAGTGCAACACCAGCTACAATAGCAAAGGTGTCCCTCATGTCAAAGGCAAGTGGATGAGCTGGGTGAGCGGAGCGGCTCCGCTCTCTCCACATCTCTTTCTAGTTTATGTTCCCCTTGATCCCACCCTTTTACTTTCCTCCATCTTTTTTTTTTTTCCCCTCCAGCAAAAGCTTACAGCCCAGAGTTTTACTATGACACTCCCAACCCTACCTTGAGCCAGAAGCAATCCAAGAATTACTCTTACGTCTTGCAGTGGACGCAGAAGGAGCCCGATGCTGTGGATCCCATCCTCAAATACCGCCTGGAAGTCCGGCAGGTAAGGTCTGCTCTTCTGGAGCCTCAGCACATGCCCTTGGGAAGAGGAGCTCTCAGGAGGCAGTTACATCAATGCCTCCTTGCTTATTAAGAGCTGAAGGCGATGGAATTGCCAGACCCTGATGGTCTTGCACCTTCCCAACCCCATGGAAGAGATAGCCCAAGGGCACGGCTCGGCGTTCATTTTTACGTCTGGCGTTGGGTACAATCAAGGGCTTTCAGAGCCCCGCTGCCTCCCATCAGACTGTTCGTGCTCAGTGTTCTGAATGGGGTTTGAATGTGAACAAACCCCCCACGGTCATTAGGAGGTATTGTAGATTTTTATGGGCCAAAGACTCGAGCGAGTGGAATTCCACCCTCCTCGCTCGTATGAAATAAAGGGAATAAGCTGAAGAGCTCTCCAGGCAGGAACTGCAGGAAAAAAGTCATCGGCTGTTTGTGTGGCAGAAGGGCTTTCATACTGTCTCGGTAATGAAGCTATTTGGACTCTATAAACTCTGCAGGGGAAGAAAAGTAGGTTTCAAGGTTTCTGGGTCTGAAGATAACCAAGATAACCAAGGGTTGGGGGGAGAGCTGAGGGAAATCTGAAGAGATCCCTGGTTGGAGAAGGTTAGGGAAAAGAGCCTGGTGTTTCTAAAGAGCACATTAACCTAGCAGGATTGCCAGGTACTTTCATCCACACTCAGCAAAGCGCCTGTGTTCATTGCTTTTTTAAAAATGGAGACACTTAAAATTGGTGGTTCTTTGCCATTCAGTGGTAGCTTGGAAGCAAATGCATTTTGCGAGGAAGAGTTTGTTTACTGTAGATAGAAAACAAAATAATTAAAAAAGATGCAAGTGTCTCTTCCCTCTAGTTCTGCACAGTAGGCTCCAGTTTTATGTCTCTGTTTGATGGTGAGCTCTCTGGGGTGGGACAGCCTTTGTTTGTTGCTCAAACCGTGCAGAGCACATTGTCAGTGCTTAATAATAATGCGGGACACAGGGGAGCCTCTAATAATGAAGGCAGTTTGTCATAGTACCCCTTCCCTCTTAAACGAGATTTGCTATTATCAGCACTGCAACTAAATGAATTAATTTCTGATTTTTGTCCTTCTCCAGTGATGTTGAGGGGTGGTTTGGTTTTTTGGGGTTTTTTTTTTTGGGGGGGGGGTTGGTTGTTTGTTTTTTTTTTTCCTTTGCACAGTGCTTAAGTAATCTTGGATTTGTTCTTCCTTGAGCTCCTACTGAAAGGGAGCAAGAAAAGGCAAAAATCACATTTCTGCTTTAAGTTATGACCCTGTGCAAATTTAAACTCCCTGGTTTTGTTCATAACCTATCAGTTACTGCTGTTAGTGTCTCTTTTGCAGCATCACTACATAGCTGTGACCGTGGCCCTGCTGTAGCCCAGTCTCACCTATGGGCAGTGTCTTAGAAATGGCTCCAGGTGCCACTGTGGTGGCCTGGGACTGAATCAGGGAGGGCAGAGAGGGGAGGAAGCAGAGGAGTTTTATTCCTGCTTCTGTCAAATACAAGCAGGAAAGACTCTTGAAATTGCCTTCTCCAACCAAAGCACTTGCATTTCCCGGTGCGGTCTCTACCCCCACGTGCTGTACTGAGCTCTCACAGAGCCCTTCTCATTTCCTTGTCCCAGAGGATCACATCCCCTGTCGTCTCCAACCTGCTGCTTCGCAGAGCTGCCTCTGTGCTCCTGTCCTGCCTTCCTGGTGTTTTCCTGGGCATGCCTGAGCTGGGCTCCAAGCAGCCTCCTGCCATCACCCTCTTCCATGTCCCGCAGGCTTTGCTGCTTCGTCGCACCTTCTCCTCCGTGCTGGGGCACTTGGGCTGAGCTTTGTGTGCTGCTGTTCCATTGCTGGACTGCAGAACATGGTGACATTACTCTTTGTGATAAGTTCAAAAAGCTTAAAAGCATTGCTGACTGGAGAGCCCTTAAGAAAAAGGGGATTTTTCTGCCTGTACCAGGAGCTGCTCTTTGCTTGTGCTCCCTCCTCACTGGATGCACTGGCTTCCAGGCACTACCGGTGGTGGCACAGAAATCCTCCTAGAGAGCTGGGATGGAAGTGGAATATTCTCCTCAGATAAAACAGGCTGTGCACGTGGCCAGTCACAACTGCTTTATTGCATTTATTGCATTTACTGCATTGACTGCATTGAAGCTGCTGAAAGCTTATCCAACCAGCCAGCCCGCCTCCTCCTCCAGCCCTGGGAGCTCCCCAGCCTCAGTGGTCGGTGGCAGATGCTCTTCAGGATCTGAAGGATGGAAGGGGACAGCAGCAGCATGCAGTCTCAGAGCGATGAGGGGCTGTCTGGGGAAGCAGGGGGGATTAACTCTTGCTGAGCTGGAATGCAAAAGGCAGCCAGCTGGGATGCCTGCTGGTTGTAAAATAGTTTGCTGGTTTTCATTTCATTCTCCTCAGTTTGCTTGAAGAGCTCTTGGCATATGTAATGTGAAGATCCCCAAGTAGCAGGATGCCTTGCAAGGCACCTGGGAACCCTTGAATTAAATTTGCTTGCTGCAGCTGCTGAAAGTGGGGCTGGGTGAGAGTAAAAGTGCTGCTTATTAATTGGCTGGTGCTGCGGCTCCTTCCAAATCTTTCTGTTCAACTGATTCTCAGGGCTGGTTGGGCATT